GACAAACAAGTGGGCCTGGTTCATATCAAATCACATGCAAAAATGATAAAACTGAAGCAGTCTTATTTTGGATGCATCATGAGAAGGCAAGACTCCCTGGAGAAGTTAATCATGTTAGGGAAGGTCAAAAGCAGAAAAAGAAAAGACCAAATGTGAGATGGATTATCTACATAAGGGAAGTCACAGCCTTGAGTTTACAAGATTGGAACAGGGCTGTAAAGGACAGAACATTTTGGAGGCATTTCATTCATAGGGTTGCCATAAATCAGCAACAACTTGAAGGCATATAACAACAACTACAAGTGTTATTCTGTTTATGCTATATTAGAGCAGAGGAAAGTGGAATGCTAATAAAGGTGTCAGACACAATGATTAATTATGAAAAGAAATAGGTGCTATGGACAGATGGGATATAAATAAATAAGCTTGACTAAAATACAATCATACTGGATTCATATGAAATAACCATCCAGGGTATGGGTTGCATATGGGTTGTCATTGAATATGGATTGTTGAATTGGGGGTTGTCACTAAGTCAGACTTTTTGTGGCAGACAACAGTGTGTTCATAGCACAATGTGAAATCATGAGTTCCTAGGTAGTGGTTAGCAATCCGTAGTTAAACCAAAATGAAGGATTCATGTGTAACAATCTATGATTCAACAACATCTGATAATTCAGTGAAAACAGTACATAACTCATGCTCTGGGTTGTTATGTGCAGACCAATATTCTTTACCAATTCGTCCTGCTTCTAACCAATGATCTTTGGAATGTTGCGGTGGCTATTGGATGTTAAAGGAAATGATACCTACACATGTTCCATTGCTGTTTAGCATATTCCATGGCTGAACACTGAAAGCAGGTTCTGGGACTTGAATCATAGTGAAGCAGCTATCTTCTTGTCAGTCAAATGACTAATGTGTAAATCTGCTGCTTTAGGCAATATGTCTGGATCATTCTGACCTTTTCTCAATATTACTTTTGAAACCTTGCATCCATTTTTTCTGGATTTTTTGTGCCCGTAGGCAGTCTATATTAAATTATCCATATTTCAATAAGCCTGTGACCCTATGCACACATACTAGGGAATAAGTACTAGGGAATACCATTAAACATCACCTTACTTTGGTATAAATATGTATGTCTTTATTTAAAGTATTCTTTCTCTTCCACTTTTCAGCTGAAAAAGACACCCAGATTAGCCTACAAAGAGTAATAAAATAATCCTGGTTCAGAAAAAGGAAAAGAGATGCCAAGGGGTCATGGGAGAACAGACTTCAGGCACTAATTCTTTGTAAAGGTCCTTTTCCTGGCAAGGGAAATTGAAGCAAGCTCCCTGCAACTGCTTTTTATCTGCCCAATGTATAGGGGTTAGGTTCGTTTTCTCCTTGTCACAATGTTCCTCCTATAAGGCAGAAAGTGTAGTGTAGTCTTTTGACCCTGGCCACTGTTTTGGTTCAGACACCATACTAAGCTATAGTGGGTTGTTACCATGGGTAATTGCAAGGTGGCTTCATGTGATGGACAAATCTGGAGCTCTTGTACACAGACAAGCCACCTTGAGAACCCATGGCTTGTAGTAGGGTTTTTAAGCTGACTTGTTCTTAGGGTGGCTTGCTATGCCATCCAGACCTTGCAAGATGATTTTATTGTGAGTTGTCAAAACACCTACAAAACCAGCTGGCAAGAGTGGCAAAAGCACCATGATTGCATTTGTGCCCCAACCATCCTCCCTCATCCTAACTCAGCATCTTCTTCCTTAGGATTTATTTTTTTTTAAAGGACAGGCATTTTAAGTAAAGGATACCAAATGGTGTACCCCAAACATTCAGGTTTTTTAAATATCACAGGAGTAAATGTCTGCTGCTAGGAACTATGTGTAATTTTCCTCTTCCATTTTAAGCATTGAAATTTGTATAGTTTCCCCACCATTTTACTGCTCTGCCACACAATTTGCATATTTAATTGATTTTATTATAACTTTCAACAAAACCAAACTTTAAAAATAGATGCACACATGTAGATTTGAATATATCAATTAATCATAAACTTCAACAAAAGCAGACCAAATACCCATATACGTATCCATTCAAGATCCATTATATATACGTAATGCAGACCAAATATCCATATACGTATCCATTCATCTATCTGCCATCCTTTCAAATGTTAAAAATGTTGTTAGGTCCTTGAGCCATTGCATTAAGGTAAGCATTTATCCTTTGAAAGTTGTAATATTAGTCTTTTAACTGTCAGAAGGGCACAGAACATCTACTTAGGCTGGATTTTAATCCCTCTGTTAATTCCCAGGGAGCAGATAGATATAAAGGAACAAAGGCACCTTGGATTCACACCTTAACCTGGTGAAGAGGTTTCAGAGTTGAGCAATGCCTCCAGGAGGCCAGACTCCTCCACCAGCAAATATTCAAAGGTGTTCTAATACAAAGTTTATTTGTACTATAATCTACTCCCGAAAAGAGACATTACCAAAACATATGATCAAAAGAAGTGTATTTCCAATTATCTGCCTCATTTGTCTGCCTTGAAATTTGTGTGTATTTAGCAATTTTGCTTATTGCTTTGTAATCATCATGTACTTCTGACAGCTAGTAATGGAGACCAGTTGAGGAAAGTGACAAGCATGAAGTGTGTGAGGATGGTGGGGGTCAGGGAGCTGAAAGCAACTGGGAACTTTAAGAGAGGAGGAGCTTTAGAGGCAGGGATTACTACTTCAGCAGAATGTGAAACAGTCTTTTTAGTGTTTGCTATCAAGGGAAGCACCAAACTAGAGGATGATGTTGACAGGGATATTGACAAGCTGGGGAAGTGGCTATGTTTGCCTAAATATTTGACAGGCATATTTTGTTGACTCCATTAAAAGAAAAAACAATTTATGAGTGCATTTCAGTGGTCACATGGGCTCAGAAACTTAAATCCCTTTGGCAATCTCATGCTAGAGTGGGAAGGAGTTTTCCTCTTTAGCCAGCAATCCTACAAGACCAATTGCAGAGAAGATGCTGAGTTAGGCTACAAGGAAACAAGGATTTCTGCCACAAAGGCTGCTGGAATACATGCAAACAGAAGCATGAAGGACTCAAATGGACTAAGTGATAAAAAAATCTATGACAAGCCAGTGAGGAGAGTGTAATCTGCCAGGAATAACAGACAAACTGCTCACCCACCCACCACAACATGTTCTTAGTGTAGCTTAGCATGACATCTGAACTCACCCAGAGTTGGACTGCCCTTCAGCTCTGCAGTCCTGGGGCAACTGTCAGCTGGAGCTAAGCTTTTGATCACTTGGGGCAGAGTGGTGGAAGAATGCTCCTCGTGGCTATTCCTACTCTGCTTGACATGGATTATACTGCTAGTTGTGATCCAGATGATTGCTGTGTTATGAAAGCCGCTCTATAAATGCCATATTCAAGACTCCTTTCATTGATTTCAAGGAAATGCTTTCAGAATAAATGAATTACATTCCCCTCAATCTATGTTGCTTTAAATGTACTTTATTATTTGTGGCTTTCTGTTTTTTAAAAGGCCACTGCTCAATAATGTCTTGAAAGATGTATACTTGTTAATTATACTATTTTAGCATTCCAAGGTTTGTGTGGACAAAGGATTTCCCCATATGCATTAATTGGAATTAAGGCTCTTTAAAAATCTGCAATTCTGATGCACTATCCAAAACTTTCTGTCTTTGGGAAATGCCTAGAGTTGTTCCACAGATACAGTCATTACTGAAATTGCATGTTGTTTTAGTTAAAAAAGTTAAGTATGCTGTATCAGAATAGATCCTTTTGTGTTGTTTTAACTGTGTACCCTAAATGTGTGAAGCATGTTTCTAATGTAGTGGGCAAGTGCTTGTTTTTGGAGAGCAAACAGGACATAGAAATCTGGGGTCAGGGGGCAGAATGGGAAGGAAGATTTGGAAAGTATGACACTGGTGTATTTGGGGTAACCTTTTCATGGTGACCTGTACAGCAAGAAATTTTGTTTCCTTCATTAACAGCTGATTAAGGGGAGGGAAAGGACAGAGTGGGTTCACTTCAATAGCAGGGGGTGGGGGTTTAGAGAGCTGAGCCTGATCTCAGGATATTAATGTGTGCCTTCAGCTGGGGGAAATGAGCCATCACTTGAGGAAGCTGCAGCTTTATGCGCTCGTCACTAGGGATCCCCATATGTCCTGGGATCTGCCGCAGTTAGAAATGGCAGGCCTTGGTTGCTGAGAGCAGAGAGCCCTCATTGGTATTCATTGCAGGTATCTCAGCTCAATCTGCCCAGAGCAAGTCTGTTTAATGTTGATCAGCTGTCCATCTGATAAACTGAATTGATATGGACATTTTTCTCCAAGGGCTGCCCTGACAATGACAGCAGGAGCATCAGGATGTCTTGTTAGTCTCTCCCTCTCCCTCCTCTAGCCCCAATCTAGAATATATTAACCCTTCTTTAGACATAAGGTTATCACAGTATGCAATTTCCTGCCCATATAGATTCCTTCCTTATTCTGAAACAATAAGGTTAAATTTCCTTTCTAAAGTAGGTTTTCTTCCCACCTACCCTCCTGTACACCCATCTCCCCAGCCATAATTTATTTCAGTGTAATCAAGTGAGCTTACATAGGGTAGATCTCTTTTAAAAGCGGATAGACTAATTTTGCCATATTCTCCTCCCTTATTTTTTCTAATAATTGCCAACACTTATTAGAACTGTCAACACTTATTAAAATTTGTATTGTAGTGTCACAATTTTATGCTTACAGGCGTTCAAAAAAAAAAAAACAGTAGAGAACCCTGTGCAAGTTGGAAGGAAATACAGTTAAAGAGGGCAGTCAGACAATGTAGGCCCAAATGGTGTGCTCACAGTAGCACTGAATCTTGAATTTGCACTGCTAAGTACTCCCTTCTGCTTCAGGTTTCAGCACTTTTCCTTAGGAGACTAGTATCTTATGCAGTTATTTTGTACCTAATTGAATTTATTTCTGAACTTTGTTTTAAAGTCAGCGGACCCTGGCAGAGATTACAGAGCTGATCCATACTGCTTTCCTGGTACATCGTGGGATAGTAAACATTGGTGAACTGACATCCTCAGATGGCACATTGAAGGACATGCAGTTTGGAAATAAAATGGCTGTCCTAAGTGGTGATTTTCTTCTAGCAAATGCATGCACAAGCCTTGCTCAGCTGCATAATACTAAGGTAATGAAAATTTTATTACTTTAAGACTGCAATCCTATACAAACTTCCCTGGGAATAATTCTGGTTGAACTCATTGGGGTTTACTTTTGAGTAGATATGTATAAGCTTACCCAGTAATGAAAGGTATAAGCATTACTTGTGTCTTATTCAGGAAATCTCTCTTCACCCTACATTTTGTGAACTAATTTTGTTAGAAATCCATGTCTCTTGAGGCATTGTATGTCATATAAAACAGAGCACGTTTCCCAGCTATCTGAAATTTTACCAGATATGGAATGTCAACTAGGTCAGATGAATGGAGTACATAAAATTTGTGTTATAAAATTAATTATGTGTTACCACATTTACTCCCAGACAAATGACTAGAGAAATTAGTCAGCAAACGTATCCCTACTATAAGCAAAAATAACTAAATTAACTAACCTTAATTCTTTTTATATTTTAATAACAAGCATTTTTGTACAGGTTTTAAACCAGTTTGTATTAGCAAATTTCTCATCTTTTCAAGGAAACTTGGAACTGCTTCCCACAGCTCCTCTGAAGCTGTGAAAAGTCCAATCCATCCTTGGGACACCTGATTGTATAGGATAATGTAAATATGGACTAGGCCTGGGGTCTTCAAACTTTTCCAGCAGGGGGCCAGTTGAAAGCTGCCGGTGCTGGGCGCAGGCTGGAAAGGTGGTGCTGGCGGTGCGCGTGGGGCCAGGGCCGGGGGCAGGGCAGACACATGTCACGAGGCGGGCGCATGAGGGAGCAGCTTGCTTGCTTGAAGAGTGTTTTCTCCAAGTGAGCAAACCTCTGTCTCCCCTGGCGCGGGGCAAGGTGGGCGGCGGCAGGTGCAATCGTGGGCACACGCATGGGGCGGGTCCAAATGGGCATGGCGGGCCGGATCCGGCCCCCGGGCTGTAGTTTGAGGACCCATGGACTAGGCAATCACTGATAGTCAGCAGCAATTATCATGATCAGGATAGCACTTTCTACAGTAAGTAGGATCAGAGAAATTGTTGTGTAGCCATATTAGTTATGACTTGGTTTACACACAGCTATTAACTTCCTAGCTGACCCAAGCCCAGGAGAGACATCTTTGGCATAGGATAGTGATCCCCTGGCACCAGTTATTCCTACAGATTTGGAACAACCTGAAGGGCCTGTGCCATTGATGTTTTGTCTGAAGCTCTGACCCCTTCAACCTTTTCTCAAGGCAGCCATGATTCCAGACTCTCCTCCCATTGTCCACAGCTCACCAGAGCACCAACAGCAGTGACCAGATAGAACCCTCAGAACCATAGTTGGATGTCCACTTGACTGCCAGAAGACCCCTTTACATATAAGCTCTTAGTCTTTCCAAGGCCTTTGTTGAGTTAACAATTCCCATAGAAATATTGTGCCCTAGTTATTTTGCTTCAGCTATGGCAATTACAGTTCCATTTGATCACATGCCCAAGGACTTAAGTATACATGTGGTAACATATAGTGTGTGAACTCATCCTTAAGATAAATTTTGTGCTTAAAATAAATGGAGAAAGTAGCCCTATGTAATTCTCAGTTCTAGTCAGTAATAGAAAACTTGGATAAAATGCTTTTCATTTTCTGATGTTATGTACTTAAGCAAAGAATTGTAATGATTTCAAGCTTTCCAAAAATCAAACCTATAGTATATTGAAATACAGTAGCCTTAAAAAAACCCTGCTTGATTTCTCAAGTAATTACTCTGCATATCTGAAAATTCTGCCAAAACATGTTAACACTTTCCCCCATTTTTGACACCTCAGTACTTTAATACCTTCTATATCCCATAAGTGAAATACAGCCAATTTATTCACTCATTCTCTCATATGTCTTAAAAGTTTGAACAGTTGGAATATAAGCTGTAATTTTTTGACAGATACACTAGCTTGATTTGTTATCATTTTGAAAGAGAAGGGGGTTTAGATATATTTGCTTTAGAAGAAGTATAGAAAAACCATAATGTTCCCCCCACCCATTATTTTTTCCTGTCTTGTGAAATGAAGTAGCAGCTAAAGTACTACCTTTACTGAATGTTGGGTTAAGTCCCTAAAAACTATTCCATGTAAAAATACTCAGTACTACAGAAGCATAGCTGGGAATACATCCCACTGAACTCAGTAGTGATTTTGTCTGAATCTGTCTGGAATTGCATTGTAATAGTCAGTGCATTTCAGCAAGTGTTCTGCCTACTAAAACAGCCAGTACCTCATAGTTTAAAGCCAAATGGCAGAAGTTCCCAGCATTTGAGCCACATAACTAAAATTTTGAGATGGTCATGAGTCTGAAGCCACACAATGTGGGATGATGCTATTTCCATGCTTTTCCACTAGGTTTTATGCAAATAGCTTGTATTCCCCATTTTTATATGTAATCCCTAGAGAACATCTGTTGGAGTTGCTGTTGCTTCCATCTCTTCCCCTCAAAAGAGCTCTTTGTTTAATTGTGTAGCCAAGAAAACAGATAAGGAAAAGCAGAATCCTGCACTACAACTCTAGTGTGCTTACAAGAACAGAAAATGGTTTTTCATTCTTTTATTTTCCTTGCCATCAACTGTTCAACCACATTTGACTTTCATTAATGTCTCAATGACTCCCAGACAGGGTTTGGCCATTCTTGTTTCATGAAAAACTTCAGTGTGCTAATAGAATACTCCTGCCTTTGTAGGCTACTTTCAGTTTCCTGTATTCCTACCATTTTGGACTATCTTCAATGACAAATTCATGGATAAGTTCATGGAAGACTACCTTCCATGAATTTGCCAATGTCTTCTGGAAACCAAATAGATAAGACAGACAAGATAGAAAAACTGTAACACATTACAAACAGTACTAGCCATGAGAGGCTACAATGATTGAATAAGCACATATTTGTTTCAGTGATTACAATTGTTGTACTCAGTATAATTTATATCCAAGATTTCTATCATTATTTTGCACCATTAGTCCCAAACTAATTCTATCATGGTGTTATGGCCAATTGTCAGCTTTTGTATGAAGCGTTTATTGCTGTACTTCTATCAAGGCTGACAATTAGAAGTGAACATTTGCAGTTATAATGAAATGCAGAGCTATTTTATAATTGTCAAGGGTAAAATTAGCAAAGTCAATTATTTTCCCCTTAGGCTTTTCCCTGTAGATATTAAAAGGCTGCAAGATAATTGCCTTAGGTAACACTTTGATTCTTAAATAACATTAAATATAGGAATTGCTGCTAATCTTGTCACAATTTATCCCTTTGCACAACTGCTGTAGAATAGAACTACAGCACTGTCAGAGGACTGAACCTACATTGAAATATCAGTTATGAAATTGCAGATTGTCTAAACCCTTTATAAGGAAGATTTGTGTTGTACCCATATTAAAACATCAGTGTTATGGATATTTAATTCTCATTAGTATGAACATGCCATTTTGCATAATATCCTGTGAATAGCATTATTTAGAAAACAGCTATTTAAGAAAAATCAAGTTATTTTCTAAATCTAACTAAAAGTACTGTTTTCTGGAATCCTCCTTATTTTTGTGTGCAATGTGCAGCAACTGAAATGACACAGTACAATTTCAGTATACAAACAGGGATATCAAATGTTTCATGATGAATTGTTTGGCTGATTCAGCTTGCAAGTTAAAGATTCTAAGAACTGCACTAAATCCCTTATTAATGATATTTAATGACAAATGTTTGAGAATTTGTATCAGCACTCTTCTTAAAGTGCCTATTATTTGTATTGTAATTGTTCTTAGCTGTTTAAATTGTTTTAAATTTTGTATACTGAAATTTTATGTGATATTTTGTTATCTGTATTTGTGGCTTCTAATGTTATGAATTGTGAACTAGCCAGAGTGCTTTGTCTATTTGGTAGTGTTGAAATGAAACAAAATTAGTACATTTATTACCTATTCACTGCAGTACCTGAACACTGTTCTTAATAAACTATAATTGCTTACAAGGTCTCTCTGTTGAGGAATTAAGTTTACTGACTATTGAAAGGATGTTGTAAGATGTGGCTTTCTGAGTGGGTAGAACTTTAGATTCCAAGTACAACCATGTTACTTGGGAAATACCTTAATCTAACTATATAACTGCTGACTGACACTTCAGTTACATTGAACAGATTACTATCATGTTAGGCCACATTTTTAGCTATTGCAGTTTTTCATTCATCTGTGACTCAATGATAGCTGGCCTGTGATTGCCATTCTAATAAGTTTTACTGTAATTGCAAAAAGAAGTTGAGTGAAATAGCCCTAACATGACAAGATAGATTTTGTGAAGAACTATGTTTTGATTTTTCAAAATCTATTTAAATTAAAAAGAGAAACTGTAGCCCAAAACTACTTGGATGCCCAACTTCTTGATTTTGGAAGCAAGGAGGGTGGTTTTAGTTCAAATGCTTTTATAAATTATCATTATTATTTATTTTATTTCATTTATTTCTATACCAACCAATAGCTAAAGCTGTCTGGCAGTTTAAATTTTAAAGCTAAATTTCAGTGGAATGGTATTGTGTTGTTTGTGATATTTAATGAAGTTTCAAGGACAAATCAAGTTTAAATTGTGTTAGACAGTAATTTTGCAAGCACATTTCTGACAGTATCGCCTTGATAAACCCATAAACCTACAAAGAGAAGTTGCAGAGCAACTGTTGTGAAAAGTTCAGGTTCATATTTTCCAGATTTTCAGTACTGTACTTTCTAAAGAACCACTGGATGGTTTCAGCATTTTATCTAATAATTTGGTGTTTGCAACACCAGTCAGCAAATTCATTTTGCTCATCTTTAAATACCATTGGAACATAGGAAGCTGGTTATGCAATGTCAGGCCCCTGGACCATGTAGCCTGTAGCCTGTAACTGTGTGCACTGGATGGCAGCAGGTTCAAGCTGGGGTCTTACTCAGCCTTAACTGGAGATTGAACCTGGGGCCTTCTATATGCAAACCAAATGCCCTGACACTGAACTACAGGCCATGACACAGTGTTTGGGCTACAGT